ATCTCACTTGACCGTGAAGGCCAAGTCGTTCCTCGAAATTTATTTTTGCAAATAATGGATTTTACATAATACCAATTGGTTATAAACGCACATCACATTAAAGAGCGCAAAAAACTGTACATTTCTGTTTTTAACATTCCTTTATACGTTCATTTTTAAAGAAATACAAGTCAAATGAAATTTTTCACGACCACTAAGCACTGATTCGAAAGGGTCGGATCTTGGCGCAAAATTACATCCAAAAGTCGAGTTGTGGAGCAATTCAGCAGTCATTTACAAAACAGCGCATTTTGCAGAAAGCTTACTTAATTGTCGAATCAAAGTCATACATAATGAATCGGCCTACCTCATTTACCCGTTTTATGCCATTTTCACGTATACTTTGGCATTGGTTTTCGATAAAATCACGTGTTTATCAAATGTCCAGAAACAGCGCAATCTCCATGTGCAATTTCGCCCCGACAGTCGATTCATAGCGCTGTCGGATTTGAGCGCATCGTGTTGCATGTGGGCGCAAAAATGTCGGATTTGAGAGTAATCGTGTTCCCGTTGATAGCAATCCGTTGGTCTTTTCCGCTAAGCTCTACGACGCTCCTTTTTCAAACGCCAGGGGGGTCGCACCCCCCCCCCCCCTGCATGGGCGAAGGTGGCGAAACACCGTTTACGGGCGAGGGTATATCTAAAGTATACCCTCGCACCGAATAATCTTAAGTATATTGGGAATGTGAACTTATCTAATTATCTATATAAAGTAGGCGTACTGTGCCTGCTGGCGGCGGGGGGGGGGGGGGCAGTTCCGATAAGGAGACGTAGGGCTGAGGCGAAGATGAAGGAGAGGGACAGTAACTGGTGGCCACAATGCGCTATACTTGTCACCTCTCTTTGGATGTCACAGCTCCGAGGTCCTAAAAAAATTGTGTTTTTAGCAATCGCATCTCGATAACTTAATTGACCTATACATTTCGATGAAAATTGGTCACCTTAATTGTATGCAGTCCGTACCTTTCGATGCAAATTGGTCACCTTAATTGTATGCAGTCCGTGAATATTAACAGGTTGTTGTCTGTTGATGCTGATATGAGCGTTCCTTTCAAGGCAGGACAATCCGACAATCACACAATTGTTTCTCGTTCCAAATTCCACCTATCTAAAAGAAACGACGCGCTTTACTATTGTACCAATTGTACCATACAATACGCTTGAATTATAATAAAAGTGTGAAATCGCTTATAGAACCCGTGACGGAATCAATTGATGAGAAACGTCTCCCTACACAATATAGGAAATTTGAACAAGCGAACCTTTCGTATGGATAACATTCCGGGTTACTATATTTGTTGAAATAATTCCAGTAAACTGCGCCTGGGACAGCCAGTTGTCTCGAAGGATCATGTAACGCTGCCTCATGACAACATTACGATGCGAGCGAGCTCCCACCTAGCACGTAAGTGTCAACGGATGTGTGTCAGGTTTCAGCCAAGCATGCCCGTGTGACCAGCTTGAGTCGCCGTTGCGGGCCATGGGAATCCCCATCAGTCGCGCAATGGAGGCAGTCTCGCTTCAATGTCCAATGATGCAGGTTATATTGTGCAGCATCCTGCTTAATTGTGTACAGCTGTTTGTAAATGTTATCTCATGTGTGTAATGACTGATGATCCAGGTGTCATTGACTTTGTCTCTTTGACTTGTCCTTTTGAGTTTTTGGATTTTGGCTTTTTTCCTTTGGATTTTTCGTAATTTGACTTTAAGTCCTGTTGACTTAAGTCGTCTTTTGACCTTTGTCCTCTTCACTTTTTGTCCTTTTGACTTTTTGTCCCTTTGATTTTTGTCCTTTCGACTTTTTGGACTTTGACATGTCTTTTGGACTTTTTGACCTTTTGACTTTTTATTTTGACTTCATGCCCGGTTGACTTGTTGTTTTTTGACTTTTTGTACTTTTGACTTTCTGACCTTTTGGTTTTTTGGATTTTGACTTTATGTCCTGTTCACTTTTTGTCTTTCGACTCTTGTCCTTTTTACTTTTTGGCAATTTGACTTTTTGCCGTTTTTACTTTTTGTCTTTTGACCCTATGTCCATTTGACTTTTTGTCTTTTGACTTCTATGCTAGTTGACTTTTTGTTCATTGACTTTTTGGCAATTTCACTTTTTATCTTTTGACGTTTTATCCTTTTTGACTTTTTGCCTTTTGACTTTCCTCTTTGTTGACCTTTTACCTGTTGACTTTTAAGATTTTTGACTTCTTGCTTTTGACGTAATGTCTGCTGACTAATCATCCTTTTACCTTTTATCATTTGACTTTTTGTCCGGAACCCGTGTGCGACAGTGTGTGGCAGTGTGGATCATCGGTGTGTTACAGTGTGGATCAGTGCGGATCAGTGTGTGACGGTGTGTGACAGTATGGATCAGGGTGTATCAGTTCAGTCGGGGACACATAGGGAAATTAGCCGTTTTCACGACGGGCTATCTGGCGAATGCACCTAATTTGAACAAATCAGCACTAAATCTCTTTTACAGCAAATATCTTCACTTCATGAGTTTATTTCAGTGTTTTAATCGAAAATAATGTCTGATAATTTGGAAAAAATGAGGTCTTAAACCTCTGTGAAACCCAAATTGACAGCTTCTGAGAAACACAATGAACCTAATTTGACCAAATCTGCATCAAATTTGCGCCTAATCCGCACCAAACGTCTACCAGATGACCGTTGGGAAAACGGCTATTATGAATCAGTTTGGATTAATGTGGATCAGTGTGTAAAACTGCGAGTCAGCATAGAACACTGTAAACCAGCGTAAATCAGCTTGGATCAACATCGATCAGTGTGGATCGGTGTGTGACAGTGTGGATCAATGTGAATCTGCGTGAATGGGTGTGGATCAGTGTTGATTAGTGTGGACCAGTGTGGATCAGTGTGTGCCAGTGTATGACAGTGTGGATCGTTGTGGATCATCGGTGTGTGACAGTATGGATCAGTGTGTATCAGTTCAGTCGTGGACACTATAGGGAAATAACTAATCAACATCACAGTTCATCGTGGACACTACAGGGAAATAATCAACATCACAGTTCAGTCGTGGACGCTACAGGGAAATAATCAGCATCACAGTTCATCGTGTACACTACAGGGGAAAAAATAACATCCTGATGTGCTCAAAAGCTGATTCGTGACGTCAGAGAAGTGAGTAAGAAACTAATTTTGTGACATCAATGCGTCCCATTGACTTCCATTTTGAGGATTACGATGTGGTAATGGTATATATTTTACAAAAAATAAATCTGAACGCTTTAGACAGAACTGTATGCCACAGGAAGAGCACAAAACGTGAGCACAAAACGTGCGAGCAAATGATGATATTAGCCGTTTTCAAGACAGGCTACCTGGCGAATGCACCTAATTTGACCAAATCTGCACCAAATCTTTTACGATAAATATCTTCGTATCATGAATTTATTTCATTGTATTAATCGAAAACAACGTCTGATAATTTTAAAGAATGATGTAAACGAGTCTAAGCATCTGTGGAGCCCAAACTGATAACTTTTAAGAACACACTGAACCTAATTTGACCCAATCTGCACCAAATCTGCATTAGATGCCCGTCGCGAAAACGGCTACTGTTCACTGTAGTAGAGCATCAAAGAATTACGGATGCTCAATAAAGCGACTGGCAGTACAGTTGTATGAATGAAATCAGGAACATAAATAGTGGCAAAAGGACAACATTTTCACGGTAAACCCTTATTCTTTCGTTTTCATGTCTGAACCAATACCCGTACAGCGAATCATCCGGACTCAAAATCCTTTTGAAGCATGATAAATACGAACGACATTTTGAGACAGGACGGCAACAAATTTCATTTGACGCGAATTGGCTAACATAAAATGAAATAAGATAACAATTTGCTGTTCGAAATTCAATTTTTGCAAGTATTCATGCTCCTGATTTCAGGCATTGCACGGTTCCTCCCACCTCGAGTCCATTTAAATTAGCAGCATCTGTAAAAATTAGATGCTCTACAGTGTGAAAACATCATTCTTTTATCGTAATCCCCAACATGAAAGCCAATGGGGAGCTCAGCCGCCGCATAATAAGTTTCTCGATCGCCTCTGACGTCATGTATCAGCTTCTGGAGCACCCAAGTTCCTGATCAGTTCCTTGTAGTGTCGCTGGCTGAGTTGGAGTGCCGTCAGCGCGGCCGCCGCTGACGCCGCGCTCCGTGCCCCGCAGACGGCCGGCGCCGAGGAGACGCCGGCGCCGGATGTGTGTCGGTTCCGGGACGGCTTCGGCTACCCGGCCGACGAGTTTGACCTGGTCACGTGCGCCTGGTGTTACGCGTACGCCGGGCCGCAGTGGTTCCCGCCCGACGGCCGGCTGCAGATCGGACAGCACCGATTCAGGAGACACGACGGCAGCGACGCCGTCACCTACGTGAGTGGCCGACCGAGCTCGCAGCGCGCGTCCCAAACCTCGAGCAGCTTCAGAGGAACCAGGCCATAGCTGGCTGGCGGGTGCCACTCACTCCTGAGGGGACTGGTAGCTGCAACGATCATTTCCCGTACATAGTCGTTTTTTTTTTTTTGACGAGGCTCACTGTTTTCTCTGCTTCACACATAACTTAGTTATGTGCTATTTCACTTAGTTGCAATTACGTGCACAGCACATCCTCCACGCGACCTAGCCAAAGAGGCACACTCTCCCAACTCGGCGGTTGATGGCTTAATGCTTCAGAGCAGCGCGTCTCTGGGCACATGTGTAACTACTTATGTTCCTACAATATTGAGCCATTGTGGCGAAAGAACCGTGCTACTGCGGGAAACGCGCTCGACCAGTGACATGCGGTAATTGCGAATCGGGGTGATCCGTTGTGTACCTAATTCGCATTAGGCGTTATTTTATTTCGCTCAACCACCCATTAGCTACTCCTTCATATGGAATAGGTAGTATGCCTCACATTTCAAGCGCGGAAAGTTATGAGTGATTTCTCAATTCACGTATTATGTTTGACGTGCTGTCAAGTGTCAGCTTTCAGCAATCTTTGTCAGCATTCGAATATCTAGCCAATATCACTCGTAAGAAGCGATGCATATCAGAGTTCAGTGCAACACGACGCTGTGGCCCCTGTGACCGCTAACTCCTGTGACCGCTGATCGCTGACCGCTGACCGCTGACCAATGACCTGACCACTGCACTGTGACCGCTGACCGCTGACCGCTGACCGCTGACCGCTGACCGCTGACCGTGCCGCTCCCCCAGTACCTGTACTCGCTGGACGGCAATGTCACGGTGTTGGCCAACGTGTCGGACGCAGCGGCCACGGCCACCATCTCCGCCACGTTCGCCGAGCCCCAGTACGCCGCCAAGTGGCTGGGCTGCTGCCAGAGCTCGCACGCCTGCTGCAGGAGCGTGCTGCGCCGGCCAGGTAAGAAACGACCGGGGGAGAGAGCGGGTGGGGATCGCGCCGGGGAGGACCGGGGGAGGACCGGGGGAGGACCGGGGGAGACCGGGGGAGGACCGGGGGATACCGGGTGGTGACCGGGGAGGACCGGGGGAGACGGGGAGGACCGCGGAAGTCGGGAGAATGGGGGGAGCCGATATCGGGGAGAGGACCGGGAAGTGGAGAGTGACCTATGACCTATGTTATTGACTTATGATACCTATGACCTATGATGATACCGCCGTTGACCTATGATACGTGCTACTAGTTACTACACACCTACTTATATAGCTCAATGGCCGTTACCTCTCCCCTGTAGTTTGGAACACTGACCATCCAAATAATATGAGTTCCCATAATGCATTGGCCTTAAGGTTGTAGAATATTCAATGCCTTGATCTGGGCAGCAGTCCTCTTATTGGACACACCACAGGCTTTAATAACACTCCTTCCCCGCTGAGGGCTTTCAAGTAGCGATGCTAGTGATAAGGGCATCGTAATTAATCCGTAAAGTGTTTGTTGATCGAGTCATAAATTTATCAACTTCGTGAAGTTGGGGCTCAAAGGGCTTGGCGTGGCTTCATTTTTGATATGGTTGCACATTGCACAATCCACATCGATAAGGGTAGCTTGTTTTTGTTCAAGTCGTTGAATGGTCGGACTTCATAATAAGATAATAAGAGGACTTCATATTAATGTGTTTTCAATAATTTATCTGAAAACACGTAATAACAGGGGACTTTTGACGATTTTTTTACCACTTGACTTTCGTCTCTTTGACTTTTTTGTCATATGACTTAATATCTCTTTGACTTAAGTATTGTCTGTTTGACTTTTTGCTTTTGACTTTTTGCTCTTTTGACTTTTAGTTCTTTTGACTTTTGACTTTTTGACGTTTTGACTTTTATATATTTTGACTCTCTTCCATTTGACTTTTATCCCTTTTGACTTTTTCATTTGACTTTTTGTGTTTTTACTTTTGTCTTTTGACTTTTTGTCATTTGACTTTTTGTCAGGTTACCGCACAATGTGTAATTTAAGAGCTTCGTTTGTGATTCGCTCATTCATCTGCGAGCACTACTCGTCTCATGTATTTTTTGACATCTTATCATATTCTGAGCTGCAGATCACAATGAATTAACGGCGCGTGTTTTCTTTAGCGGCCTGTAGTTGCAGCGCCGTGCCAGGACGTTCTGATGTCACGTTCTCCCTAATTGGATCGGACGGCGAGTCTGTCTAGTCTCAGGCTAGTCCCGCACCTTCACAACCTGTGCTGAATTTTCAAAAAAACTTTAGGCCCGCTATATGTGAGGATGTGCTATCTCCCGTTGTGCCCAGGGCTGCCATCGAAGAGCGCAGAATGGGAGGAAAGAGTGGTTTGTGCTGGTGAAAGTTGAAAATGGCACGATATGTTAAATTATAGAAACCTTATTTTTAACCATGCAATACTTTCGACATAGGTGCTCGTCTCCATCGGTTCAATCCTGGACACGCTCACTAATGACGGATGCAACCCTGTGTAAGTAATAAGTATACAACAACACACAGTGTACATTATACCATACACCACTCTTCAAAAGTAGTCTATGTACTACGGTATCTTTATGTTTTATAGATCTTTATAGATATGTTTTTTTTCTGACCTGCGTTTAGTTGGAGCAGTTCATTCTGAAACACATACTGATTATTTCGCCTTTCTCTCACAAATGTCTTGGAAGAGATTTAAAGGTAGTGTGCCAGCTTTCCTGGACCATATGGATTTAATGACCCGGATAAGGAGAACCGGATTTTTAGAACTTATCCATGCCTTCAAAACTCCTGGAAACGTCTTAAATTCTTCAAATTTTGAGTACCCCAGTGCGAAATTCGCCCCGACGGGTTGTCGGTCGTACCCCAACCACATTTCACACCACTATGAACAATAAAGGCATACACTAAAATCGCTATTACCGATAGGCTCATCCAATCAAGTTTCGACAAACCCATTCATCATCATCTCCTGCGGTTTCGAACACGCCTGTTAGGTGGCTTCTGCTCATACTTTGTGGTGCGGTGGTGGTGCGTCGGGCCGCGCGCTCTGACTTCGGCCAAGAAAAATGCGTCAGCTGATCATTGTCATTTCCGCCACTTTCGTGTGGTGTGATGGGGTCATAACTTAAGAGACGGCTGTTTCATATCAATTATTGTACATAAAATCATATTTCAAACCATAAATTAATGTTCGACAGCCAAATAAAAGAAACGATACCAATACAGGCTTACAGTTTAAAGGTAGTGTGCCACCTTCCAATGATTTCCCATTTTATTTTTCCTAGGATAAGAAGCTTCTGTTTTTACCTAATATCGCAAAAAAAAATCAAAAATGGGCCTGGAATAGTGCCTTTTTTGCCTAAAAGTTTATCGGTTTTTCGATATGTATAACAACTGTAGTGGGCTGACCTGCAAACAGGCGTCGGCAACAATCGCAAATGCGGCGCACATGTGACAATAAGCAAAGGTCATTATAGAGTTACGACGAACGGGAATGAGTTATCAGCTGTCTAATCGTAGACAACACAATGTCGAACTTTAACTGTAAGCCTGTATTGGTATTGTTTCTTTAATTTGGCTGTCGAACATTAATTTATGGTTTGAAATACGATTTTATGTTAAATAATTGATATGAAACAGCCGTCTCTTAAGTTATGACCTCATTTCACCACACGCAAGTGGCAGAAATGACAATGATCAGCTGACGCATTTTTCTTGGCCGAAGTCAGAGCGCGCGGCCCGACGCACCACGCGTATTTGGAAATTCCGACCTCGACGAGCATCAGAACTCAGAAGCCACCTAACAAGGCGTGTTCGAAACCGCAGGAGATGATGATGAACGGGTTTATCGAAACTTGATTGGATGAGCCTATTGGTAATAGCGATTTTAGTGTGTGGATTTATTGTTCATAGTGGTGTGAAATGTGGTTGGGGTACGACCGACAAAACGTCGGGGCGAATTTCGCACTGGGGTACTCAAAACTTGAAGAATTTAAGACGTTTCCATGAGTTTTGAAGGTATGGATAAGTTCTAAAAATCCGGTTCTCCTTATCCGGGTCATTAACTCCATGTGGTCCAAGAAAGCTGGCACACTACCTTTAAGTTCGACCTTGTGTTGTCTACGATCAGACAGCTGATAACTCATTCCCGTACGTCGTAAATCTATAATGACCTCTGCTCATTGTCACATGCGCGCCGCATTCACGATTGTTGCCGACGCCTGTTTGCAAGTCAGCCCACTACAGTTGTTATACATATCGAAAAACCGATAAACTTTTAGGCGAAAAAAGTACTATTCCACGCCCATTTTTGATTTTTCTGCGATATTAGGTAAAAACAGAAGCTTCTTATCCTAGGAAAAATAAAATGGGAAATCATCGGAAGGTGGCACACTGAACACTCCCTTTAATAGCAGGCCGGTTCTCCGTCTCTGAATTATTTCTGCTCGGCCCGTCCCCCTCGCGCAGCCGCTGTCGTGTTTCCAGCTGCGCCCCGATAGCCCGGGGCGCGGGGTCGGTGGGGTCACGATATCAGGTGCCGTCCAATACACCGACCGGTGACAGCCAGTGGAACTGGCAGTTCTGCTCGTATCTAATGCGACTTCTGGCACCAACAGCTATACGAACGCAACTGAAGTATAGAAGATATCCTCATGCTTTAGGTACAAGAAGAAAACTGGAAAATAGCATGACATATATATATAAGATACCAGTATGAAAACATCATAGAGAAGTTATGTATTTCACCCAACTTCCAGTGGACTCACTGGCTGATAAAATGAATCCATTTCGGGCATTTGCCTCAACGGAAGCGATCAAATTCTGTCTGTTCCTCGAATGAAATAAGCTTTTGAAAATGTAATGCGATTAAGTTTGATTTAAACTGTACATACAGTAGGGCATTAGTAAGCAAAATCCGAGGGGCTCATAGAAATTGTACAACTTTTTGGCGAGTTTGCTCCCTATGTAGCGCCGATCACCCTTTTGGATCCACAAAGGAATGGTTTTCAATGTTGACAGCTTCATTATTGTCTGTTTTACTCATTCAATAACAAGTTATTGTCCAATGTAGGTCTGATTCTGAGTGGTGTGGCAAGAACACTACATGTTTAATCAACATAACTGCATTTCGTAACAACAACCCGCAGCATAGGCGCTGGTTAGTTTTATGAACTGCGTCTCATTTATCTACCAACCGCTTTAGAATTCAATTGCATTTTATCGGTAATTGAAAATTTCTACCCCATTGCAACTCGGTCTCGATGTATTCTGTTTGGCCAGCTGATTATCTCGATGAAAAGCGCCGGCAGAGGTCCTGGGCGCCGAAATGGAGGCGGTATTTACAACCGGTTACTCTTTACGAGTGGCCGGCAAACAAATATGGCGTTACCAGGTGATTAGGCCGGTGCCATCTGCGCCTGCCACAAAGGTCAGCGACCAATCTGAGAGGGTCGGCGCGCGATGAGGCGTCGCGATGAGGACCATTACCAGCTGCGCAGCTGTACGGTAACGGGCGGCGAGCCCAGTAGGGGAGAGTGGGGCTAGCTGTTACAGGGGTAAGTTGTTACAAAGGAAATATCTTTAAAAATACTCTTGATATGGCGCCAATATTTACGCTAGCAGAAAGGTTACCCACATTTTACATGTCACTGCAGGCTCAGACCTGGTGGAACGCCATGTCGCCCTATAGGCGCACTGGGGTAAGTTGTGACAGCAAAAGTATTTTTTGCTGGCCAACACTTTCGGTCGTTTTTTGTCAAGGTTATTTGTGTAAGAATGTTGAATGTATGTTCACAAAATTAAGCGATGATTTCTTTTGTAAGATCACCAAGTAAAACGCACTAGCCTCTTCATGTAAACAAACATTTGAGTTCAGTCTTGAGAAAGTCGGCCGCCGCAGGGCCGGGGCATGTTTAAAGATGGCTACCCAAGACTGCTTATAGCGTGCTCCATTTCACCTGGGCGTAAATTTTGTGCAGAAAATCAAACTCCGGTCAGTATGGCAATGCATGGTGCCCTTGGCGTCGCAGTAAAGGCAAATCAGAGATTGAGCCATGTTTGATGAGCCGTTTCATGCGTGTGGAGTACAGTAATGGTTTATGCTTTATTGTTCTTGCCTTTCAATGAGAAAGGAAAGCATGTTTAGTATTATCCATTAGGGAGGCTTACGATCGGTTCCGATAGGACGGGCAATGACCGCTATAATGATGAAGAAACTACGAAAAAAGAAGTGTAACATGTTACCCCATATCGTGTATCAAGTTGCCCCACAATTTTTCAACTTGCCCCAAAAATCTTGCTTTGGTTTTCTGAATTTCACATAAAAATGAATAGTCGTAAAGAAGTGAAAGTTTGCATGTGCTTTCCAAATTGATTCAGCTAGCATGTGACCAAATTTGGTGCAATTTCATTGAATAGCTTGGCCACTAAGTGCAGAAGACCAAAAAGTGTAACGCATCGCCCCAGTCTCCCCTACAACAGCAGTGTACACCAGCAGCCCGGTACAACAGCAGTGCACAGCCTCCTCAGTAGCGGGCGGCTAACATGGGACAGTGGCCAGGGATTTAGGGATTCATTTTGCTGTTTTATGAGTGAGCTGGCCAACTAGATTTGATAGTGACGCTGGTCTGGTTTAGTTCCAGAGAGCGAGATCCGCCGGTCGTTTGACGCCGGTTTGGTTCCAGAGAGTGAGATCCGCCGGTCGTTTGAGGCTGGTTTGGTTTGGTTCCAGAGAGTGAGATCCGCCGGGCGTTTGACGCTGGTTTGGTTCCAGGGAGTGAGATCCGCCGGTCGTTTGACGCTGGTTTGGTTTGGTTCCAGAGAGTGAGATCCACCGGTCGGGCGAGTACTGCCCGGCAACCGAGGACGGCTGGCTGTGCTGGAACACCACGCGGGCCGGTCAGACTGTCTACCAGCAGTGTCCCGACTACATCTACTCGCACCAGGTGAGTGTCGGGAGCTCACCCAGCAGTGTCCCTCCCCAACTACCAGCAGCGTCCCCTCCCTCACTACCAGCAGTGTCCCTCCCCAACTACCTCCCCAACTACCAGCAGTGTCCCATTCCTCACTACCAGCAGTGTCCCTCCCTCACTACCAGCAGTGTCCCATTCCTCCCTCCCCTACTACCAACAGTGTCCCATCCCTCACTACCAGTAGTGTCCCTCGGCCTCCCCGACCACCAGCAGTGTCCCATCCCTCACTACCAGCAGTGTCCCCTCCCCAACTATCAGTGTCCCGACTACATCTACTCGCACCAGGTCAGTGGCGGGAGCAGCACCCGACTACCAGCAATGTGCCCCGCTAATCAGCAATGTCCCTCCCTCCCTCACTACCAGCAGTGTCCCCTCCCCCACCTATCTGCAGTGTCCCTCCCTTCCCGAACTCTAGCAGTGTCTCCCGTCTACCAATGACAATATTTGACAACTACTTTCGTTAAGATGCAATGTATGTAGTTTGAACATTCAGATCAATACCACGGAATAAGATTGGACGAGACTGGGCCATTCAGCTCAAGAAGATAATCCACCGCGGTCATCGACGGCCGACCATGTTGGCTCTCAAGGGTTATCGACTCAGATACACGCTGAGTGGCTAGTCACTTTAGAACTGTTCAGAAATAACATCTCTACGTGGTATTAACCTATGATGAGAGTACTCTGAATGGCCAAGGGGATCATATTTCAGTTAGTGTCACGCTGCGCATTATCGTTATGTTTTAGCGACATGAGCCTTTGCTAAGTGTGTGCCTGCCATCAGCATGGACGCCTGTGCAGCCTACTTCCTGGACCGAGCGGTGTGGTCATCCCACTGTTATAGGTCGTCCGTTTCGCTGACCGACTCCGAACTGTGGCCGCAATGTTTGCCAGCCTTCGTTTCAGGTCGTTCGGCCGTGACTCACACTGTTTGGACTCACGCCGAACCCAGGCTCCAAATGGTATTGACTCTTGTTGTTTGCGCAACATTATGAAGGTATTCCGGAAATCATTATCTGGCCGAGATAGTTTGCACAGGATCAGCGGACACGGACGATAAGACGGTGCGTTATTTCAGCGGAGGCGCCTCGCGGGACGGGCCGCCGCGGCAGAGGCGCCTCCGCCAGCGGAGCGTCCGTGTCGCAAACGGCGCAGACAATTGGCCGCATTCAAAGCGCTGCGCCGCTATCGCCGCCCCGGCGCCAATCGCGCCACCGGTGAACGCGCCACTGTTAGACACACTCGAGAGCGGCCTGTTCGGGCGAGCCTGCGCAGCTTTCCGCGAAGTGCCGCCCAGCGCGGTGTTACCGGTCTGTAAACGGTCAGCAGCGCTCTGGGTTATGTTTTTAAATCACCTGCAAGTGTGCGCGGGATGTGCAGTATGCGGGTGTTGGTGCTCGTACGTTTGAAATGTGTGTGTGTGTCTGGTGTGTGGTAGTGTGCACTGCGCCTCGTGACCTTTGTATTACAAACAGCAACAAATTTAGGTATCAGCACGGCACGATTAGACCTTAGGTATAGAGCTCCAGTCCAATGTAATACGTATATCCGACTGATCTCTTGTCGATGCGATATGGCTGGAGGAAAAAAGCATGGATGCCTAAATGTAGGTATAACTGTAGCCGAGTTTATTGTGGTGTATTCCTCGTAACAACTATAGTGATTTTTAATCGACTTCTTTTTAATCCATCGACCATCTCTGCTGATGTTTTCACTTTTACGGTGTGTTCTCGTATATTTTCAATTAGATTGACTTCTCTGGAGAGCAAATTACATCCCACCCTAGGCTTCACCGGCGTATAGTATTTGCTTACGAGTTTGTTCAAAAGGCTGTTGTTTTTTCAATAAGAATATGCACCTACCAGCTTCATGTTCAAAACTACACCCCACCCAGTCTTTGGATGGACTGAACAGCCGACAATGGCGGAATATCCGCCTGCCGAGTGCTCAGGTCTGGGCGTTCCGGCGGGTCGGCCGACTGGCCACGGTCACCCCCCCCCCCCTGGGAGCAGGGAGGGGCAGGGGTCGGTATCGGACGGCCCAATGCGTCTGTCCGCACCCATCACCGGTCGGCGGCATGGACAGCCGAAAAATACGGCAGCGCCAGCGGCTCACGAACAGGCTAATCATGCGGGGAATAGATTAATTTCCGGCCTCCCACGAGCTATTAATGTGCTGCTCATTACAAGTTACTTTAGTTCCGTTATTATGTATGGCTTCTTTTACATACATACCTATAGCCTACCTATACGTAAACAAAGAGCCACCTATCGATATTCTAAGCAACAGCCTATAACCAACACGCTTATAGTCAGCAGACTGCAGAGGCCCAGTGACCTTGACATGCCATTGCCCATTGCCCACACTGAACCGAATTTAACCCTTAGGCCGGCGAGTAAACCGGTGCCTCGGTTTATATTGTTTTCAGAGCATGTGGGCACTGCACCGGTGCCGGCACGGGTGTAACCGGCTGACTGGCTGACAGACTGACCGTTCTGGAGACCCACCTGTCAGGGGCACCCGGCTGACCGTTCCAGAGACCCTCCTGTCAGGGGTACTGGCCCAAACACCCACCTGTCAGGGGCACTGGCCCAAACACCCACCTGTCAGGGGTACCCGGCTGTCCGGCCCAAACACCCTCCTGTCAGGGGTACCCGGCTGACCGGCCCACAGACTCTACACTGTTCGGTGTAACTGACTGACCAGCTAATCGTTTCACAGAGACTCTCGTGAAGTATTTAACTGACTGACCTTGGTCTGACCGTTCCCCACAGGGACCCTCGTGTTTGGTGTATCCGTCTAACCGTCTGACCGTCCCCCACAGAGGCCCTCTTGCCGGGTGTATCCGCGTCTGAGTGTCTGACCGTTCCCCACAGGGACCCTCGTATTTGGTGTATCCGTCTGACCGTCTGACCGTTCCCCACAGAGATCCTCCTGTCGAGTGTATCTGCGTCTGACCGTCTGACCGTTCCCCACAGGGACCCTCCTGTCGGGTGTATCCGTCTGACCGTCTGACCGTTCCCCACAGGGACCCTCGTGTTTGGTGTATCCGTCTGACCGTCTGACCGTTCCCCACAGAGATCCTCCTGTCGAGTGTATCTGCGTCTGACCGTCTGACCGTTCCCCACAGAGGCCGTCGTGTCGGGTGTTTGCCAAGAAGCAGTGCACGTCGAACGGCACGTGGTGGGCGCCGTCGGCGCAGCACGGCGAGTTCACTGACTACGGCGAGTGCAGCAACATGTGGCGCGGCCTGGTGCGCCAGTACGTCAACATCGGCTGTAACGGGGTCAGTGACGGCGGCCCGCGCCCGCCGCGGGCAGCGGCTCACCCGGCTCACCCGGCGCCACCGGCACACTCACAGACACAGACTCAGTGCGTGGGTCAGTGACGGCGGCCCGCGCCCGCCGCCGGGCAGCGGCTCACCCGGCGCCACCAGCACACTCACAGAAACAGACTCAGGGCGTGAATGTGACATAGGATCAGCAAACGTGCAACGGGATTAGCGCCCCGCTCCTTTGTAAAATGTAAATGAACATCGGTGCTAATGTCGACCTCCAAATAACCACAAATCCTTACCAACAGGCCAATGCCTGACCCGTGTCCTTTTCCGTGTCCGTCTCTGTCTGTCTATCTGTCTGTCGGTATCGGCAGGTGTCGGTGTCTCTGTCTGACCGGCGCGGTGTCTCGGTATCTCGGTGTCTCACCTCTCGGTGTCGGCAGGTGTCGGTGTCTCTGTCTGACCGGCGCGGTGTCTCGGTGTTGGCAGGTGTCGGTGTCTCTGTCTGACCGGTGTCTCGGTGTCTCGGTATCGGTGTGTCCGTCTGACCGCGGTGTCTCGGTGTCTCGGTGCTGGTATCTTTGTCTGACCGGTGTCTCGGTGTCGGCAGGTGTCGGTGCTGGTGCTGCTGCCTGCTGTGCTGCTGTCAGCCGCCATCCGCAGCCTCCACCAGGGCCCCCTGCTGCTGCACGGCTCCCTGATGGCCGCCCTGCTCATCCGCTGTATCATGGTCATCGCCACATCAGTGGTGCTCAACATCGCCCAGCTCACCGGGGTAGGTGGGGCTCACCATCGCCCAGCTCACTGGGGTAGGTGGGGCTCACCATCGCCCAGCTCACCGGGGTAGGTGGGGCTCACCACTTCACCGGGGAAGGTTGGGCTGAGGGCTTAACATCTCACCGGGGTAGGTGGGGCTCAACATTGTTCAGTCGAGCATCAACTTTCTACAGCTGATTTCTGTAAGTTCCATGCAGGACCTTTGCAGAAGCAGTCATGGAAAGAAATTGATGGCTTTTGAAAAAGTCAAGCAGTGCTAAGGCAACGACCTAGATCGCTATAGCATGTAAGAAAGGAGCTGACCTTCCCGATGTAATTGTTTTATTGCCGGGGACTGCAGGACTATCAAATATAGTGCAGAAACTGCCTAATAACTACCATCTTTGATTGGTATGGTCTCAATATCCAGGACGCATAATTGCATAATTCATGTAAGTGCAATGCGATAAGTCTGCTCGGAGAGAAACAAACTGCTATCTCTTCACCATCTGTTTGGTAAGTTGCGCACATGCGGCTGCCAAGCTTCGACAAGGTGTTTACAAGGAACCTGCATTGTTCCTTTGAGGTGGAACATCAACGTGTGACCGCTGAGAATATCAAGTAACTTCGCGGAGCCGCCACCTCCTCCTCCTCGCGCTCCCCGATTCATTCAGCGGCTGCAGCTGAGCCCTACGTGACCTCCAGAATCACGAGGAGGCCTATTTACCGGACCGCCGCCGCGCGGTGCACACTGCACAGTCGATGTCGCGTGCTCGCCCGCACTTTGAGGGGTAACCATTACCTCCAGCGCCACTACGGCCCATTGCTGATCAGTGTGTGTGGTGCGTGTGTCCGTGCCACACGTCAGACCTGTCTCCCTCTAAGCCCCCGTCATCGAGAACGCAAATCTAATCACGCAACATCTTACCCGTGTGTAAACAGTCGGCCACCGAGCTGGCGGAAAGTGTCTGGGCCTGCTTGTGCTCATTGAGTGCGGCGTAATCTCGCCCAGTTCTGCCCCCCCCCCCTCTCCCCGTCCCCGGGTCAGTCAATATTGACCCCCGGGGGGCTGTTGAGCTGTAGTGGCGGTCCGTTTGCGGCGATGGAGAAGTGTCCCGGCCGGTGCAATCGGCTCCGATAGCTCGTCAAGGCGGCCGTGAGAGTGCGGTCGTGGCTGTCGAGTGTCCGGATGGGGAAGGCCGCTGGGGAGGGGCTCCCACCGAGTGTCCAGGCTGGGGAATTTGTGCATTTGATGGCTAACTTTGCGAAACTGTTTAATGAAAATGCTTAGTGTAAAGCCTTAATAATTTGCAATTCTTAGCTTGTGGCATTATCTTTGAACTCACGGTTGTGTTCAGGCCTCACCGGACCTATATTGGTTTTCTATATAGGCCCCGGCCAAGGGGGATACGACTCTTCCCTCGCTGTTTTTCCCCTAATGGAGCTAGACTAGCCTCGAGAAAAACAGGTCTCATATCAACTGGTGACTTCTGAGGTTCTGTCAATTGCCCCAAAGTACGGGATTGGTTTTTGGTAAATAGCTTCGCCAAAAATAGCTGAAGAGCCGCGATTTTGGCACCAACCTGTTAGTCTAACTCAGGCGCGTCGAATGGCATAGGTACTTATCGTTTGGGTGGAATCAACATGAGGTGTTGACCTCGGATCAAGGTCAGACCAGATCTCTGCAGGTCACATAGTTGTTCGAATGAGGTCATATTGCATATCATTTGATTTGGTAGGTCTTCCCGAATCCATTGATGGCTTTCCCGAATAGCTAGCTCAATTTGATCGGAGTTATTGACGAAAAACTCATATGACCTTAGTGACGTCACAAATGACCTCACTGAAATAACAAATTCATGTGCATGATATAGTTTAAGATCATTTCGCACGCCAAAATAACAGTTCTCATACTTTCCCCATGGACTTATAATGATGAAGTCACGTGACCGGCCTGACCTCAGGTGAGCCTCAGGAAAAATCCGAGACATCATGTACTAGACATTTCATGAAATGCCGGATTTCAGCCGATGCTTACGACATGCACAAGTTGTGACCTCTGGTGGAGGATACTATAGGTCCTGCAAGTTTCATCTCCCTGTGAAAGCTCCTCTGGCACTGAGGGCGTTTTTTTTTCTAAGCCGCCGCCCATGAATAGACGACCAGGAGTGTCCACCCACTGACCCGCGCGACACATAGAACCTTACGTTAACACCACCCCGAAATATAATACATCAAGTCGCGACACTCCCTGCTAGGAGAATGAAGAAAACAAAATCAAAGCTGGAATAAGCGCGGTAAGGCCCTTGTTAGTATGGTATATGGCTTAAAAGAGAAGCAAAGAAGTCAAGGCTAAATGTAGCTTGACTGACCACTACACCTTCCCATTTAAGAATAAGCCAAAGGATCAGTCATTCCATCGGTTAGTTAGGTTAATCGTGCAGCGCATTCACACATTTTTGCGGGGTGGGGGGGGGGGGGACAGTATCTGGTCTGGGTTCGGCAGAGTCAAATGCCCACTGAAAAGAGCCGCCGAGCTAAGCAAGCTTGTTGCTCAGCGAACTCAAATCAGCGGGGAAACGTCAGGGCGTTATTTGAAGTGTTACGTATTGTTACGTAGTTTATAAGCGGTCGAAATATATCATGTTGTTACAAACATGAATTCGTTTAATGAGAATGCGAACACAACACATACGTGGTGCACTCCAGAAGTTTTGAGACTTTTTCAGTAGAGACAGTTTGCTGTTTCAGAACAGCATGAAACTTCAGTGACTCTCGAAATGAGACCTCCCGAGCTCAATACACTTGTTGTAGCGCTCCGGTCACTTCCTGAAGACCCGCTGCTAGTAATTCAAAGTGAAGGTGTCCAGGGCCTCTGTCACAGCCTCATCCATCTCCTCCACATCCTCCAAGCGGCGTCCCCTGAACTTCTCGCTCAGTCTGGGGAACATCCAGAAGCCACAGATGGCCAGAACTGGACTGTGGGGAGGATGAGGGACAGTTTTGATGCCCATCTGTGTTAGTTAGCTCGTCACCTTGATGGACTTGTGGGTGGGTGCGTTGACCTGGTGCAGGTGCCCCTGGCCAAATTTGAAGAGTTCGGATCTCTTGCGGCGAATTCCCTTTCTCAACTCCCCTAGAACTTTCATGAAACATTCCTTGTTAATCATCTGGCCGTGCACGGGACCCAGCTCAGCTAATGAATATAATGCCTTTTTGTCAAAATACCTACAGGATTATTATGAGCTTCACAGTGGACCTGCTCTGCCTGGTTTTCTTGGGTCTGGGGGAGTCAGTGTGCTTCCATTGAACACTTTGTCTCTTGGTGTCTGGATCGGTAAAAATACATCCAGTTTTCGTCCCAAGTCACTGAAGAGCCAATTTTAAATGTTTCTGGGGTATTTTATCAAGCTAATCATAAAATTGTATTGCCTAGCGACCCTCAAAGTTGTCCTCACATTAACAGCCTGACCATGCTGTGCACTGGCCGCTGTGACAAGCCGCTTGCGACTTGCCGTGTTCAGGGTGATGCCCTAGCCGTCTCTTGCAACGTACAAAAACAAAATTATGCAAGTACGTTTACCACAACTGTGGTAAGGACATATGAAAGCGACAAGAATCTAGCACTGTTAATAGGGCTTTTACGAGGGCAGTCTCAAAACTTCTGGAGTGGACGACGTACATGAGTGACTCCACGAAAAAGATATAAGGAAAAAAAACCGGTAGCGTAACTAAAGAAAAAAATGGAAAGCACAAATACATTAAAGAGGTCAAAATTCAATGATGACATAGTGAGATAACGATTCATCGAAGTAGACCACCTCTCGCTCTGGTTTAGGTATATATGCATAATACATAAGTTATTGTAAACACGCAGTGGCATTATGGGTCTCTCCTTCATTATATCACATTGTATACAAATATACAGACAAAAACAGTGCGGGGGTGAACTGTGACAACATGAAAACGTATAAAGTTATTGTAATATAAAATGCGTGGTCAATTGTGTCAGTTCAGTAAGAATCAAAGAAAAATTGTTTTAAGAGACCTTTGATATGTCTCTTGGAGGTTGGAACATCTCGTAGGTTTGGGAACTTTGGCCCCATAACTTAACATAACATAACATAACATAACATATATTACAATGTAACAACAGGCTACAGGAGCCCAACAAGGTTACAAGGATGAAATACACAGTGATGTACACATTCATGCACACTGAACAAGATTTACATGACAATGAATGCAATGAGTGTATCCTAACAACGAAACCTATCAGAGTTGTCTACGTCTTCAATGGTGTCAAAGACCGCACCACGCTCCGTAAAATACAAATCCACGTTATGTTTGAATTTGTTAAGGGAGGAACTATCTATATTACTATTTGAGGAGGGTGCGTCTGTCCGTTACCGAGGTCCCGACTTGGTGGTGCTTTGCGTGGACTGCAGGCCAGACCGTTGCACCTAGCCCGGTGAAATTTGCACAACTCATAGATCAAGGATGCGCGACGTGCCTTTGAGGGGTCTCAGCTCGATCGGGTCGATAGGGAGCGCGTGGTGCGTGCTCAAAAAGTGCAAATTCGCGTCATAGACTTTACATGTATAAATCGGCGTGCGAAATCGGGCGAAAATGGCTAATTTTGGCCGACACGGGTCCAGTTCCCGTGCAATATCTTGGTGACCAGGGATCCGACCGGCACGGGGAAACAGCATCGTGTACAGAATTGAACGGGCTATTGAATGGTGTGCAATGCAGAGGATAGCACGCGCCACGTGCACCGGAGAGGGCACTTTTATTTGAAAAATTGCGGTTTTTGAGGGATTTTGGAATTAATTTTATTTTTAGGTGACCGTTAAATGGAGCGAGTTGAATCAACGCCTATTTGCAAGAGAAAGGTACCGCCTCTCATATAAAAATTATGAAAAGCTGATTGATCCAGATCAAGGTGGTGCAAATCACAGGAGAAAATGGTGTTTGTTAATTTTGTGCCACTTTATTAATCACACGGGGTTTGCTGCA